TCTATGGCTAAATGACCCACAGTTTTTCAATGTGCGAACATGAACCATTTATATACAATATTTAATACAAAACCCCAAAAATTGAGATAGCTAAAATATTGAAATAATGTAAAAGAAGTCACAAAGTAAGCATGGGATGATGGCTCCTCATTTTATCGTATTCTCGTGGCTATTAATTGCAAGACTTTTTGAAGATGGTAATTAGGGTTTTGTAATTCGGTGTCGGTTCAAACAGAAATAATGGTTGATGTATTATTAGTCATGGTCAGTATATAAGACTGTATAACGGCAAAATTACATAGTCAATTCATGATAATGTGCATACATACGTCAATTTATGATAAAAATTTGTCATTCTACAAGTTCAATTATTTTGTTTAACTACAATACCACGTTATTTGGATGGTTTTATTTTTGTATGAGACGTTTTGACAAAATGTACGTGCGTGTAAATATGAATATAGAATTCTAAAATTTTGGTATTGAGTAGGAATGAGTAATGAGGGTTTTAGATTTGAGATTGATTGTTAGGGTTTGGGTGAACAAACTCACCAGAGATATTTTTGTTCAGCTACACAAACTTTTTATAGGTTGCTTATGGGTTTGGTGACTTTTGTCATTATATTTTTTGAAAATCTATAAGCATTCAATGTTTACAATATAATAATTATGTGTCCCCTTCTTAGTGCATGATCGTGATAAATTAATGCAAGAACCAACATACATAATTATACGAGAAAACTCGTGATATGGACATGGACATAGACATAGATCCACACTCCTAATTCTAAAATTTCATGTGTATTCGAAAGGATTTAAATTCTCAATTTTCAAAATTCATAACAATCAAACCACACGTTCTAGGTCGACATCATTGCATTCGAGTTCAATGTTCGAAATCAGAACAATCTTAAAACTAAAGAAATATTATAAAATTAATTAAGGCTAGATATAAACTTCTTAGCAGAAAAAACGCTAGATAATATAAAATTAATTAAGGTGGATAATTTGTAAAGAGTACATTGACCAAGAAATGCATTGACCAAGAAAGTCAACTTTTCGAACTTCAAACCAAGAGTTGCAGAATATCCGGTTTGGATTTTGTTTTGTCGGATCCGGTTATGATACGTCGAAATCTTGTGTAAATCCATTATTAAATGTGATTGGATACTTATACAGCATATGTCGTTCCTATGTTCGTGTAATTAAATATGCAATGTTCATGTTAAAACTTGAGACAAAAGACAAATCGACAGATATCATAGTATAAGTTATCCAATTAGGTTACCTTCCCATCAACGGCAAAGAAAACATAATTTTCTAGATCGTATAAATAAAAAACATTATAGGGATTAATTTACATTAAGATTTGAAAATTTGTAGTTGCGTACGGGAAGTTACATAAGAAAGCAAAACAATAAAATAGTTAGATTAGGTACATCAAGAATATCCCATAC